GTATTGCTTTATTAATGTGACTTTCAAGTTCTGGAAGCCAGCTTAAGAGGGTTCTTTGCTTAAAGGCTGCATGCAAATATTTAGTAACAATACAGTATGACTGAAGGTTTTGGATTACACCCTTTTCAGTCATAAGTCTGTATGTTCCAACTGTTATTCAGCAACCTATCATAAATACTTTTCCATGAGTACCTAACAAAAGGGGAGAAAGCCATGGGGTTCTTGCACTCATTCCAAAAGCAAGGGTAGGTAACACCTCTATTAGACCACTAAAAAATTACAAAGAAAAACTAGCTTTCAGTCCACATTGACTTTTATTATGCGGAGCACTACTTATCTGTGAATGGTGCAGAAAGCTACAAGAGTTCCAAAAATCATCCCTAGATGATTATCTCAGTTTCAAAATGAGGACTGTACACTTGAGCCAAGAGTGCTGGTTTTAAATTCCACCTCTGGCAAGTCAATCAACATTAATTGACAGTTTATAAAATTAACAGCTTATAAATGTGCAGAAGTGTGTCGGGCTAATATCACACAATCAATCACAGATGTTCAATTGGTAGTGTGGTTTGTATCAAGACTGTTGTGCAAAAAACCTGCAGAAGAGTTTCTTGGATATTACTTCAGCTCTGCCATTTTCCTTAATTTAAAATCAATTTGATTTAAATCAGTTTTCCTTGCAATCTACTTTTAACATGCTCTATTCTGATCTTTGATACTCCTACAGACTACCCTACATAAATTTTAGAAGCAGGAAACCTACAGCCAAAGCTATTAAAATTCAATATATCATAAGCACTTTTTATGAGAACCTGAGCAGATTATCTACTTGGGGAAAAGAGAGGAAACTGTTAGAAAGCCTCTTGAGCCCAATTATCTGAAAATCTGTCTTCTTTTGTTCAATTTCCTCATTAAATTAGTGCAAAAAGTAGCTGGCTTATAGTTTCTATCTCAGATGGTCTGACTCCAATCTTGTTGAATGCGTGCAAAAAACTGTTAGGAACTCACATTCAATCTGTGAAAATTTACAAAATAGCAAAGCACGACAGATCACAATTATTCAATATTTATTGCTTATCCTTGCATCCTGCCATTCATGCTATCCATACAAGATACTTTTTCAAAGTACAAATAGTTAAAATGACAACGCAAGACACACACAGCAAAGCATTTACAACGCAGATCAAGATTATAAAAGTTACATACATGAAATCGGAAGAATAACTAGGGATGCATAAAGACAGGAATGTGTGGCTCAAAAATGCTTGAGTTTTGTGAGGATTTCCTTTAATCCTTCTTGAAGGAAGGAATCTACAAAATCCTAAATTTTGTTTACCAGCTCTCTCTGCAGTGCTAGTTGTGATTCTACATATTCAAGATCAAAAAAAATTAGGGTCTCTGTATTTCTGTGGACTTGGCATAAGCAAACCCACACACAATGTTCTAAAATGGCTTGATACAGAACAGAAAGAAACTAGTCACTTGAATTCTGTGGATTAAGGGGGTCTTTAGCAATGGCTTAATTTCCCCCCTTTTCCAACAATTTGGGGAGCTGCAGGCTTTGCAACTCATCATTGCTGGATAGTCGATGGTTTAGGTATCTGGCAGAACCAGAGACTGGCAGTTTGATTCCCTATTATGCCTCATTGAGACAGGCTGGACTCAATGATCTATAAGGGTCCCTTCCAGCTCTGGATTTTCTAAGACTGCTTTTTAAAAAAAATATTATTATTGTGTTAACAATGACCATAATCTTAGATTTCAGAAGGGAAAGAGGAGCTGGCCTGGTCTTTGATTTGAACTTAAATACAAGAGGATATTATTTGAAGAGTGTTTGATCATGCCTTCGAGTTTACTGCCTAGGGATGGTGAGAATTTAATCCAACACATCTGTAGCACACAAAGTTGTAGCAGGCTGCCTCAGATGATTTCTTAGATTTTTCAATACTATAGTCATATGGACATGAATCCTTATGCTATTTCACAAACCTCTAACTAGTCGTCTCTAAAGATGTGCCCCACCTGACATTGATTAAGCTCTGAATTCCATCAAACCATTCCACGCTTTTATGTAGATTGAGATGAAAAACCATAAATCAGGGCCTTTTCCCTCAACATTTAGTCTGTATATTCCCAAATATATTCAGTGACTCTAAAACTATTAGTGTTCATCTAATATCAGGCTGATCTTTCTTTATTCATACTGGAGCATTGCACAATTTAAAATTAACCATGCATATGAGTTCCAACAAAATTAAAATGTTAAAATAATGGGCTGCTTGAATAGCATTATCTTGTCCAATTGCTATATCTTATTTTGTACACATGGTGGAGCATAAATTGCATGCACATAAATGCTGCACTGACTGAATTTCTCCACATTCACAGACAATTTGTCCTGAATCCCAGAACCCCCATATAACTTGATTATTTGATCTTCCTACTTCACTTCAAAGTCTATTAAGTGACTTCCAGATGGTCCATCCAGAATCTTGTCCTGGTGGGAGACACTTGGTAAGGCATATTGTATTTGCTCTCCATAGATTTAGCCTAGCCTCTTCTGGTTTAATATTTAGGGTTTGAAGTGGGTGTGGAAAACTTTTCTTCAATTTTAGCCATTGCCTAAGGGGCTGGTGTCCATTACATGGATGGATTTGGTCCTCTGTTATCTTATTTCATTCATTATTTACTACCACCTCTCATAATACTTCCAGAGGGCAATGCCAGCCAAATAAAAGACTTTTTCAAGTAGGGTAGGTTTTAAGCAGCCAGAAATAATCCTGCATTATTTATTTGGAACTAAATCCACTTGTTTGGCAAGTGCTGATTTATACCATATGATATTAGCATATTCTGCTGCGGAGTAGCACAGGGAAAAAGCTGCTGTCCTTATCATTTGTGAGTGTGCACCACAGTCACAAACCCAGAGAGTTTCCTAAGTACTTTATTTCTGGCAGCAACTTTCTGTTTGGTGTTTAGATAATGCTTTTTGGAGGTCAGGGTTTGATCCAGAATGACACCCAGATATTTTGGGGTAGGGCAATGTTCGAAAATTGTGCCTTCCCAGCTAACTTGGAGCTTCCTCTCTTCTTCTCTGTTCTTTAAGTGGAAGGCACAGGTCTGTGCTTTAAAAGGATTTCATTTCAAATGGTTGTTTTATAACAGAAGGAAAGATCTTCTAATACAGAGGTTAGTTAGTGCTCGATGGCCTCAAAGGTTTCCTCTCTGGACTGTCAAGACAAGATCATAGATGAAACTCATGGAGTATGGGAACATCAGTTGATCATTTGTATGAATGTAAAAAGGTAATAGTACCAGGAGCTACCCTGTGAAACACCATTCTTTTGATTTCTTCAGAAGCTGTGCCTCCCTTGATATTCAACAAAGGATTTTCAGTTTTTAAGTAGAATGGCAACCCTTTTTGTTAGTCCATGGCTGAGCTTCTTGAACAGCGACTGATGGGCAACAAATATCATATGCCACTATAACAAATGCTGCTCCAGTTATTTTATGTTTCAAATCAGTCTTCTATATGCTGGTTAAATTTAAAATTTGAGCCGTACAGCTCTAGCCAGGTCTAAAGCCTGCCTGTTCTGGAATTAGAAGAAATTCAGTTTTAGGGGCTAGGTGATTTAACGTCATTCATTCAAACTCTTTTTAAATAAGTGACATAGTAGGGAAATTGACTTTAGCTTTTGGGGTCCGATGATTTTTTGTTTTGTTTTGTTTTTGCCTGGTTTCAGTATAGTGATTACCTTAGTCTTCTGCCATATTTATTTTTGGAATTTGTTTGCTCATCCAGTAATTACTAAACAGCTGAAGGAGCCATTACTTTGTGTTTTCTACAAAATGTTTAATTTGTTTAGTCCAGATATAATCAAGTCCCACCAATTTGTCATTCCTACATCTATTGGTTTGCTCTGAACATCTCTTTGACATTTTATTTTTATTATGTGTTGTCTGGTTTTCTCTGACAGGAGCAGTTGGTGTGCTGTTTGTTTGGGGGGTTATATTTGCATATGGAATCATTTTGTTTGGATTATTGTTCAGTCTTTTCAGTAGTCTCCAAGCTATCCAGCTGCTTCTTGTCATGTTAAGCTTAGTTATAAGACATAAGAAATTTATTTGTCATTGCGCTCACAAGTGGGTGCAACGAAATGAGGTATAGTGTTAGTAGTTATAGTGTCTACCCAATTCTTTTTGTTTCTGCAAGAACCTGAGATCAAATTTCTCTCAGCCCTTATTATGTGTTCACTAAAAATATTTTCTTTGAAATGTCAAATGTACTCTAAGTATTGGGTGTGTATTTCTGGAGTGAGACCTGGGATGTAGTTGTTCCAGCACCCTCTCGGAATAGAAGCATAACAACATTCCAGAATGGAAATTACAAATTGATCCTAGTTTTGTGGCTGAGGGCCAATCTGAAACACAGTGGCATTTAACATTGTTGTAAACTTTTCCTAGTTGGCTTTTTTAAAATTATGCCTCCTACAGAATGGTACAGATTCCAGTCTGATGACTTAGTCGATCTGCTATAAACAGGTCTGTACTGAGTGTTTGGGACTTTCTTCGGCATAGAGGATGGTCACATTTCTGTTTGTGGCCAAGTGAAGCAAAGTGTTCTTCTTTAGATGAAGAGATGCCCTCTATATTAATAATAATTTTTAAAATTGTCATTTGTGATCCTAAAAAGGACCATTGGATCATTTTGCTCATCAGCAAGTTTACAGTGTGATGCTTTTGGATAGAAGCATTAGCTAGGACTTTCTTCGGCATAGAGGATGGTCACATTTCTGTTTGTGGCCAAGTGAAGCAAAGTGTTCTTCTTTAGATGAAGAGATGCCCTCTATATTAATAATAATTTTTAAAATTGTCATTTGTGATCCTAAAAAGGACCATTGGATCGTTTTGCTCATCAGCAAGTTTACAGTGCGATGCTTTTGGATAGAAGCATTAGCTGGTTGCATGTCAATGCCCAGTGGATACCCAAGTGTACTCACAATGCTTTCCACAATTTGGGGAGGCTTCTTCTATGTCCCCAAGTGATCCATCTTGGCTATTCGTATTGGTTTTAGCTTCTCTTCCCTTTTCCTCCAAATGGATATGCTATGTTTCAGTTTGCTACCAGAGAAGAAAAAATAAATTCAATTAGGATGCAATTCCAGATTATCTGTAGCACTCCAATGGTCTCCCCTTTTGTGTTTGTTAAAATGAGTGTTGTTAAATATAGCACTTTGAAGCTGGCTTTAATGTTAGATTTTGACATCATCCAGGGCTTTTTTTGTTGCTTATGCAGATTTGGCCATCCAAAGGCTTGGCTATAATAATGTGCCACCTTCTTATTCAACTTTAGACTGTACAAGGCACCTCACACATAAGTCCCGGATAGGAAGAGGGAGCATTCATTCAGTGACATCATTAGTGACTTCCTCTGCTCCTGGATGTTCACATACATAACAGAAATATCTGCAGAGATGAAAACTTCATGTTTACAGGATGCACAGAGCCCTCCCCTGTCTCTCCTGAGTTTCTCTTTGTAGGCAGAGATGTCACAGGGCAAACCAATACACACAAGGTTGGCTCAAAGTGCAGCTGCTCATACATCAATTCACTGCATGATTGTTTCCTTCCCAATAGGGTTAGATTACCACAATAATCCCTGTAACGCTTTATCAAGACAGATCAATATTATCTTCAAATTCTTCCAATTCATTCCCATGAGGATGTCGATCCAGACTCTTTTCCTGTGCTTGCCTGGACTGCAAACAACTGCTAGTTTTAAAAAACTCTGATAGTATAAACAGAGAAAGAAAGCAGAATGTTTGTAAAATATTCCCAACTTCTACCCTGGCTTTTGCAATCCAGCCGGGGCACTGGATGGAGTACTGAATCTACCTTGTCATCCACCTCTGCCTCTAATTATAATTGCTCTATTAAGTTCTGTCTGCATATTAATCTAATATGTGTACATCAGAGTATTAGATATTTGGGAATAGAAATTTCCAAAATATCCCTACTCTACAAAGTATCACCAACTCCTGTGAGCATTAGGGCCATAAATCCTCCCTTGCCTTGTTCTTATGCATGTGAATAAGAAACATCAACATTTTCCCTATGTCTGTGAGACACCAATCTTCTTACATCCTTAGCTAGGAGTGTTTGCAATTGCAGAACTTGAGGTTTCTGCAAACCGACTGGATTACCTTTTTCTTGTAAAATACAAATATGCAAATATCAGAATGTGGGAAAGTCACCTTTTTTTTAACTTCAAGTGCCAGAATTCCACCGGATGCTTAAGCAAGTGGCCAAGCTAGAAAGAGTATTCTGAGAATTGTAGTCCCAAGTATAAAACTTATACATGCTTCAGATACCATATGCCTAAACAGTAGATGGACGTGTGCTACATTCTAGGGCCTGAGTAAGGATTATATCGCAATCCCACTTACTATGTATGTAAAGCATTAGAATCAGATAACCATCCAAGTGCTACATTCTAGGGCCTGAGTAAGGATTTTAAATGCTCACATATATCGCAATCCCACTTACTATGTATGTAAAGCATTAGAATCAGATAACCATCCAATTGTGCCTTTTTAGGATAACTGCATAACAGATATAATGATTTGAGGATAAAAATTTTGTAAATTAACAGAATGATACACACATTCTTCATTTCTTTTCATATTGAATATAAACAACTACTTTTAGTATTTGTTTTCCTTCTACTTGTACTTTGTATAGAAGGGAAGAGGTCAGAAATAGGTGCTTTGCACCTCTGTAGTGTGAAAATACAGAAAATCCTGGAAACTGTGTAAGTGTTTCTTTCAGATTTGTAGTATGCTAGCTGGAAGATGCAACATCAGAAGCAAATGTAGGTATAATGTATTCAATATCTATTTAATTTTTTTAATTAAATTTATACCCCCACCCATCTAGACCAAAGTCTACTCTGGGCAGCTAACAATTAGATAAAATAAAACAATATAATAAATTAAAAACAACAGTAGTAATATAGCTCAAGATGGGAAAAATATTGAAGTGATATTCAATATGAATACCTCTTCTAAATTTCTGATGTGATTCCTTGAAAAGTACTAAGTCTGTTCTTGCAACTGAATCTTAGAGGTTAACTATTAATGCACACAATGGTCAATTCAGTACAAGGCCAGCCTATTTCAATTTTTTGAATGTTTACCCTCTCCCCATCACTTCCCTTAGCTGCCAATGACTGCATTAAAATTTAAAATGAATTTGGCTTGTTTTCTGTGTAGAGGTGGGCACAAGGACTTTAGCAATGACAAATCAGGCACAGCTAGTCTGTCCTAGTCAAGCAGAAATGTATGCAAAAACAATTAAATGAATTCTGAACCCATTGATACATGATTTAAAAATAATGCTGAAGTAATTAAAAACTAAGTTTATAAAAATAACAGAATTCCATAATGGGCAAAAGACCTATGCATTGTGCAAGCTTCTCCTACAGAGATCTGCCAATAAACTTCAGTCTTAATCTGCAATTGCAGCTCTCCAAATTGCTTTTTGCGAATAGACAATCAAACAGCATCCTACTCGGACGCTGCAGGCAGATGTCCAACAGAGAATTAATAGAGACCACTGAACTCACTTAGATTGTAAAAAGACCTTGGTTTTGAGCACCGAACTGTTGCTTTAGTTCCAAACATTTAATAGCTTAAATGTGTTTGTGTTCTCTGCTGTCAAGTCGAAACTGATTTACAGCAACCCCAAATAGGGCTTTAATTGAGATATTTAAGAAGTAGTTTTACCAGTTCCTCCCAGTTCCTCTCCCCCAGTGAGTTCCCATGGCCAAGTGGGGATTCAAATCCTGTTCTCCAGAGTCATAGTCCATCACTCTATCCATTATACTACACTGGAAATCAAAAGCTTAAATATAGAGGCTGAAATCCAATAGGAAATCACAAATAAAGTACGACCACTGAATCAGTGGGGTTTGATGAGTCAATTCCTCCACAAATTCCACTGACTGACTGTTCCTATTCTAGCTGTCACTTACTTCTCGATTTCAGCCACTGGTTACCTTCTAACTAAGACTATTAATTCATTAAAGGGTTATTTTATCATACAGCCTTTAATAAAAATCAGTTGATTGTATTCGAGTGATGTGGTGGCAGAGGTTAGCATTCTAGCTTGCATGTAATAACTAAAAAATTAAATGTTTATCTTAATTTCTGCCCGCACAGCCAAAGCATAGCTACATCATATTTTTATAAAGTAACAAAAAGTAACTGTTTTAGACATGTCTGAATCATCAAAGGAATTCTTTTTTTTTTAACCCATAACTATAACTGACTTCTGCAATTAACAGAACTGTAACTAACCTTCCAAGCAAGCTCTCTTGGAATAGTGGACGGCGATTTAGGAAATCCAGGTGCTAATCCCCATTTGGACCAGACCTCAGACTCTGGACCAGTCAGTCGCCCTCAGCCTAATCTATCTCACAGGTTCCTTTAGAATGTCTGGAATCAGACACAGCCATGCTTCTAGCTTTGAACAAACTGAAAGAAGATACATGGGAGATGCATGTAATGAACAAGCAAGCAAATAAAAATTCTTGAGGATGCTGTGAGTATTGTTCCTATGAGATACAGCATAATCTAAAATTTACAAAACCAAAGAACCCACTTACTGTTGAAAAGAAAGTCCATTACCAAAAATATTTTCCCCATTGATCTGGCACATGATGCACTCAGAATCTCTTAGACACTTTCAGTAAGACAAGATGAGGCCCTGGCTTGATAATCCTATGTCAGGATGGTAAAATTAATGCAGACAACCAAAACTTCTCATTTAATCTCTCTTTGTTTTTACACACTGCTGAACGTTCTGTCCTTACAGATAATTGTAAAGCATCATGAAAATGCCCTGAGTAATCTTAACTGTAGGACAAGAAGAGCAATGTGTGATTCAAATATTTAGAAAACACATCGCACTGTGACATCAGAAAAATTGACATCAGAAATAAGGTACAATGGTTGAGAATATATGATTGGGCCAAGGCCATCCCCAACACAATTCTAGCGTCACATAACTCAAAGTTCAATTAAATGAAACTTTCAATTCAACAACTCAGACAAAACCTCCAAATAAAATTCTTCCGTTTAAGTTACAAATGACTTTCAGAAGCAGGGATATAACAAACAATATTATCTCAACTTCAAAACATGAAGGTCAGTAAGAAAGAGATTACTGTATTCCTTGTATCCAAGGAAATTTAAGCAATTTTACAAGCTGGCAGAAAAATGAAAACCTTTAATAAACAGACATCACATAATTATAACAGTTCCTTTTTAAAAAGTGAGCTTTTCCACAGCAGATATGGAAACTAATAAGACTTCCCACTGCAAAGAGGTTTTATTGAAGTAACTATGGAGGGTGAATAAAAATGAAAAGATTTCAGCACTACGAAATGTCAACAAATCTGAGCAGGGATTTGCCATTTTTACTGTATACATTTTAGGATCCTACATGTTTGCAATTCCCTAGTCATTAACAGACAAAATAACTTTCTATTATTAGTAATAGGCAATTTCAAATTCTAACGTAGTTTTGATGTCCTCGATGCACCAGCAAAAGTAATTCTTCCTGCAGAAAGAAGGAGTTTATCACTACATCTGCCTCCATAACATCACACACTGCTCCAGGGTGTGCATTTTACAGGAACTGCCTTTGGGTGCGAGTTGGATTACAACAGGAAAGAAGGGAAGCCTTCTGACCTGTCAATCCACAGTCCTTGTGATCAAAGCCAATGTAGCAATCTCACATTTGGAGCTGCTGTGCTCATAATAGGACAACGATCCAAAAGCCAGCCAGCAAACTTTATTCTGAACACAATTCATTTGGTAAACAGGCAGTGTTGTTCCATGTTGTGCCCTTTCAAAGCCAGGGTAAACTCGATAATGATTTTTTCATGTTCTCCCACTCATCCAGAGATGCTTCCTCAGGTGGTGAAAGACATCCAACATAGAAGCTTTTCACTCACCAGATCACTTTGTTTTCTGATTGGTCACTATGCTATTGAAAGGTAAAGGAGGTCTTAATGTGTAAGTCTGCTGCTGTACTCCATTTGCTATATGGAATGAATA